ACACACTTTGATGATACCCCCACCCCTTCTGATTCCCTCACTTTACCTTGGGTACCTGAGATTACAATGGAAACGTTCCAAAAATCTACACTCCACAGAAGTCCCATACCAAAGTCTAACCACTGTATCATGGACTACACCAATTTCTAAATTTGCATAACACATGATGAATGCATGTAGATGGATGGAAAGACAGAAATGGAGATGAAACTAATATACAATGAAGGGGTATAATTCAACTGGATTATCTAAAAATGTTTTTGATGTATAAAATCTTTCTGATGCAATGGTTTGGATCCTGTCTATGAGATAACAAATAGCAAGAAGAAAATAAATGCACCAGCATACCACAACAAATAAATACTGTCTTCACAAGTCCCAAGAAATCTTTTGATTATCACTTACCTTTGTAGCAAATCTGTGAATAATAACTATATAACTTGAGTAGGTAATAAAGCTGGCTCAAATGAAGTAGGTGTATCTTCTAACTAGGATATTATAAACTAAAAAAAACTTGTGCAAAACAGTGAGGTACATACAGAAACCTAAAGCCCATATATTTAGAAACTGATGAAACCAAATGTCAAAGGTCTCAGCAATTTACATACCTATCTACACAGGGAACCCTTGAGGCAACATTTCATGGTTGCTATTTACAGTGAAAGTAAAATACCTGTTCCAATATCAATCCATAAAAAAGTGAAAGCTTTTCCAATATGTATTGATCACCCCAAATGTGTACAATGTGAACATGGACTTGGGAAATATGACATTTATGCAGAAAGATCTAGGTCTTTGAATGGAGTAGTTTACATATAAAAAAAAGTTGTCTTTGTATTTACCAATTTGTTTGTCTCTTTGCATGCCTTGTTGGGGGATACCCAAACTTACTTTATACTATATAGCCAGGATTGTGCTGATGTGCCATTTAACCATTATTCACACACACACACACACACACACACACACACACACACACACACACACACACACACTTTAGAAGAAAGACAATCTTGACCCATACAAGACAAGCTCTTTCTACCAAATACATGTATGTGTTCAATTAAAGCTATCTTAACGGTCACATTTATCAAGCAACCACTTTCCTTGACCATCTTCTAGATCCCTCAAGCCCAATTATTACAGCCACCTTTTCTATATCACAGAAACAAATGAGAAATTAAATTATATTGTTTAGAAACCAACTGTCATATTTTTACAATCCATATGTGGCTGCTTAAGACAAGTCTGACTGAATACACTATTTTTCACCTACATATTTCTAAAAATGTATAAAAATTTATTGCTGTTGTTTCTGTAGGGTTTAGTGCCATTTTTCAGCACAAGATAGGCTATACATAGCGGCCAGTATTAATGGTGGAGGAAGAACCCTGAAAAACCCTGGGAAGAATCACCGATCCAGGAGAAGCTACTGGCAGGCTTTCTCACTTACCCACTTAGTTGAGTCTGACAGAGGTGAGATGGTAGTAATCCGTAATGGTCAGCGCTTTAGACTACTTGGCCACTTGGGGCCCCTATAAAAATTTAAGAAACACCTATAAAAATACAACCATTCACCTGACTTGAGATGATTATAAGAATTACACATTATCCTAGGTATTTGCATCATGGGAAATTTAACCCTTGGCCATGCCATGGTAAATGCTTTTTATATTCATCATGAACAGCTGGGCAAAGTCAGGTATGGTCTGAGTGTGGGTGGGTTTGTACTGTTCACCTTAAGGTACGATATTATTGAATCTGAACAACACTAGAAATGTGTTTTTTGAATAAGCATGTCTCCACACCACAACCCCCCTATTCTTTTATTATGTAGTCAAATGTGTATGAAAAAGTACACTGGACACAAAACTTTGTCAAGGTTATTCATACTGTAATTGACCTAAAACTCCGACACTACAATTTTCTGAACATATGTTAAAATTTGTAAATAATTAAAATTTTGCATAAAATATCCAGACAAAAAAAAGCACTTTGCTTTAGGCCTAAAAGAAATTAAAAAATTAATAAACTAATGAATGTTTTACATGTACTCTAAACCTGGTGACTCTGTAGTCAACACTCTGTTTCGATTACAATAACTTTGTCATGTAGATTAAGAAGGTGTTGTCAATAGGAAGCAACGAAAACAACTGATATGCTCCAAAAAATGGTGTTCAAGGTGTTTACCTATACAAAGACTGCTGTAGGGACCCCGAGTGGCCCAGGTGTCTAAAACACTCACTGTTATGGATTACTGCCATCTCACCTATGTCTGTGTGAGTTTGAGTCTCTGACAATGTGGGTTTTCCCAGGTTCTTCCTCCAACATGAACAGCCTATTGTGTGCTGATAAATGGCATTAAACCCTACAACAACAATAACAAAAACTGATCTGAGCTTGCTAAAGGTAGTTATAAAGGAAAAAACTACTTTTCTTCCTAAGACAGTTGGCAAAATTATTTAACATACCACATGGATATCTGTAAATTTAATGGTCATCTTTATTATGTCAATCACAGTCCTCTTCATTCAGTTTACTGCTGGAGAGCATACAAAAGGGGACGAGCAGTAATGCACATGGATTCCTATTCTCATTAACATCAATTATCTTGCATCTTACAAAATGTGTAGACATGTACATATATATATATATATATATATATATATATATATATATATATATATATATATATATATATATATATATATATATATATATATATATATATGAGCATATGTTCACTATTATCAAGATTCTACTACAGAATCCAAATGATAGCACTGTCTGTTCTGTCTGGTATATATTTATAATTCTTTGTAATACAAAAATCCTATATACCTTGATTTCTTTCATAGGAATCTGGAACAACTGTGTATATATATGAGAATTATTAACTAGGTTGTCATGCAAGTGTGTCTGCTACACATGAGCTTTATAACACCATTCAGTGCATTCATTTTTTGGTGATGCATGCTTAGGCATGACAGTATATGGGCTGGTGTGTGCAGGCAAGGCTTTGGTGCCATTTACTTGCGGACCTGGGGTTCATTTAATTTCTCTAACCTGTATGATAGTATTTTTTGTATTAAACTATATATATATATATATATATATATATATATATATATATATATATATATATATATATATATATATATATATATATATATATATATATATATATATATATATATATCTTTCTTTTTTCCATTTCTTTCCATTTCCAGTAAACTAAACTGGGTTTTCATTTGTGACAAAGTGGTCAACATCTCTGACCTGTTTCACAAGTTCCTGTAGTCTGTTTTATTCTGTGCAATGTTTACCCAAGCTAACCTCACTAAAGAAAACCCTTGTAGAAAAATAGTGAGGCATATACAGAAAACTAAAGCCCATATATTTAGAAACAGATGAAACCAAATGTCAAAGGCCTCAACAATTTACATACTGGTCCACACAGGTAACCCTTGAGGCAACATTTCACAGTTGCTATTTAAAGTGAAGGTAGAATACCTGTTCCAATTTCAATCCATAAGAAAGTGAAAGCTTTTGCTATATGTCTTGATCACCCACAAATGAGTGTAATGTGAAGAAAGGCAGCTAATGGATAAGAAGAAACTGTCTTAAAGTTAAGCTATTTAGCTACCACCTGTCCTCAAACCCAATTATAACAGTCATCTTTATATATCCCTGAAACATTATATAGCCAACTGTCATCCCATATGTGACTGCTTAGGTCAAAATTGACTGAATATGCTATTTTTCATCTACATATTTCCAAAAATGTATAATATTTAAGAAACACCTATTGAATTACAATTAATCACCTCACTTAATATGATCTTAAAAATTGCACACTATCTTTAGATATTTGCATCATGGTAAAATTTAGTCCTTGACCACAACGTTGTAAATGTTTTCATATAAATCATGGACATCATGGCAAAATCATCTGGGTTTGTTTTTACTGTTCAGCACAAGGCAATCTGATTAAAATCAGATCTCCACATTGTTAAGTGAAGATCTGACAGACCACTTAGCTGTCATGTTCTGGTGACTAATGTTATAACTACAATCACAAATTTTATCAACCATCTGGATGAAGGCTTATATCTTCATGTTTGGGAGACTGAGCAGTATGGCTTAAGAGCATCAATTTGTACCAAATGATCAGATTCACTTTCAGATTTTAGAAAGATGCATTTCTAATTCAAGCATCAGCAGAATATGACCCCTAAGTGGTTGCTGTCAGATCTTCACCTAGGACAGTGGAGATCTGATTTTAATTAGATTGTATGGTGGGGTACAATATTCATGAATCTGAAAGACACTAGAAATGAGTTTATTGAACAAGCATGCCCTCCCCTGCCCATTTTTTTCTTTATTAATTATACAGTCAAATGTGCATGATGACTTACATTGTACAAGGTCATTCATATTGTAATTAACTTAACAAATAATCAGCCCTCCAACTTTCTGGACCCCACATGATAAAATTTGTATATAACTGAAATTGTGCATAAAATATTTAAACAAATAAGCACTTTTCTTTAAGCCTAAAAGAAATATGAAAATTCATGTTGAACCATGAACTAATGAATGTTTTCCCTGAAATCAAAACCTGGTGACTGAGTAGTCAACAGTCCAGTTTTTGAAACTGCTTCGATTACAATAATTATCATGTGAATTAAAAAGGTGTTGTCAATAGCAACAAAACCAACTAACATGGTACAAAAAACTCAAGAAGTGCAAGCAGTTACCTAAACAAAGCCTGCTGTGTGTGTGTATGTATATGTGTGTGTGTGTGTGTTTCTTTAACATTTTTTCAGTCATATTGCTACGATATCTACAGTATGGCAGTTTATAGTGATGTCTAGCACTCGGGTATCATGCAACTCAGTCACAGTATCCTGACACCAGGCCGACCAGTCATAACACTAACCTTTTAATGCTGAGTGCCTAGAGAGGCAGCTACTAGTACCATTTTTATGTCTTTGGTATGACTTGGCCAGGGTTTGAACTCTGGACCTCTCGCATGTGAGGTGGATGCTCTAACCATTAGGCCACCAGAGCGATCCAGTTTGCTAAAGGAAGTGAATAAGGAAAAACAACCTTTCATTATAAGACGGTTGAATTTATCAAATTGACAGCAATAAAATCAATGGCAATAAATATTTTCTCTCTGAAAGGAAAGTACTGAGATCAGTTCAAGCATTTATGAAGGAAAATATGAATTATCTTTCCAATTTACATAGCTCAGGAACCATAAAACATATTCTAATGCAAACTAGTGTGCACTTTTTTCAATTCCTAGATACAAATTTTATGTATTTTGTCTCATCCTCTCTATTCTGGATGGAGTTATGGCTCTTTACACTAAATTTATATATTCACCTCTCATGTTGCCTGTAACCAGCATAGGTGGCGCTCTACAGTTTCGTATTTAGCATAGGGTTAAAATTTTAAAGAAAAAGAGTTTCCCTGGGTTTCCTCACTAATTATACTGGTTATTTAAAAGAGACTTTGTATATCTTAGGTATTGTTCACAGAACCTTTAATTCCCTTTATTTTGATGTATGATTGATGGGTGTAATATGGGTTAGAGAGTATACAGCTTGGCCTTACTGCAGATGTGCACCTTTCAAAAAAGTGCTAGCTCTACTTGCTCATTTTCACTTCTTGAACTTCAGAGGTAAATTGTAAAAAAAAGAGCTGATAACTTTTTTTATATTTTATGTATTTGGTAATTCAGTCATTGCACTTTTAGAAGCTGGTATTATCTAGTTTGGCAAAATTCATTTTCCATATTTTAATAGCTGCCAAGAATAGTGTACTTTAGACAAATTTAGGTTGATTTTTGGAGCACAAGGGAGCAGTCATTTTAGTTAGCAGTGTCCTAAGATCATTTAAAATTTCCAAAAGTACAATATCCAAAGAAATTTCAGCCACATTACATGAAAGCAGTATATAGGTATGCCAACATTCTCTCCACTGTGCATGTTTAAAATGCAAACAACTTCACCTTACTTACATCACTCTCTCAAAAGTACATAATAACTGGTGAGCGCCACCATAATTCAAGACCATATTCAGAATATGATGTAATTTCATATTAACTTTGTTTCTCAGATGAAGATGTGTTCTGTTTGTCAACTCTGGCTTAGATAAAGTTATGGCCCTTGACAATTAAATTCATATCATTACATGGCATGTTGCTTATAAATGGCATAAGTCAAGTGTGTGTGTGTATGTGTGTGTGTGTGTGTGTGAGAGAGAGAGAGAGAGAGAGAGAGAGAGAGAGAGAGAGAGAGAGAGAGAGAGAGAAAGAACTAGATTTTTAATGTAGCTTTAGAAAATTTCAGTCATATTGCTATATCTGCAGTGTGGCAGTTGTTAGTGATGTCTACTAATTGGGTATCATGCCACAGACATGTATTATGATGTCGCATCCCCAATCACATTATCCTGACACCAGTCTGACCAATCCTAACACTAACCTCTTAATGCTGCAAACCCAATGAGACAGCTGTTAGTGTCATTTTCATAAGTCTTTGGTACAAATCAGTTGGGGTTCAATCCTGCGACCTTTGCATCTGCAGCAGAAGCTCTAACCATAAGGTGACCAGATCAGTCACACATACAGCTCAAGAACATTCAACATATCATGATTCCTTGATATGAATTTTGTCTTATCAACTCAGTTTTGCAAAGTTATGGCTCCTGACAATTAACCAGCATAGCTCAAGAACCTATTCTATTTTCTTATTTTCACATAGAAACCTGAAATTTTGCTTAAGCATAGTTCAGGGACCATTCTGATGGAATTTGGTAATTAATGATAAATTGATTAAAATGCCAGAATTCTTGTATGTGTCTCACATGTAAAAACAAATTATTTGCTATTAAAACAAAAAAACTGTCATTTACCTTTGACAAAATGGCATCAAGAGTCACCATATTTTCCAGAGTTTTATTTGAAAGGCAAATCAAACAAATGTTGATATTTCTTTCAAGCCATAACTGATTCCAAGTTATTCTAACTGCCATAAATGTCAAAGATAATCTCAAAACAATCTAATCTTTATTCAATTATGTACAACTAATTGTGACACCAGTTGCCTGTAGTTCATATTGACCTTATATTGAAGAAAACTTATTGGCTGATATTGTGTAAATAGTAGCCACTGGCATATACAGTAAATTTGTTTGGGGACAGTGCACACTCAGTTACAAATTATGCAAATCAAAGGTAATTAATGACTGAGACCAAGATCAATGTACATCATAAAAAAACTTGTGATAATCACTTAAAAAAACAAAGATATACATGACACTGAAAAATTATTAATATTAATATGAAAGTTCATATTCCTCCACATACAAAATAAATCTCCAGATTGTGGCACTTTTCTAAATACTATATATAAGTGTTCCAAACATCACAAAAAAATTTTAATATGATGGATTAAAACTGCCAAGAGGTGTCAAAGCAAATATGCCTGTAATAAGTCTTTCCACCAAAATGAGTATAAGGCACCTAATCCCATTAAAAACATATTCTTTGCACAATACATTATTGATAGTCACTTTTTAGAAACTAATCAAATAAAAAAGAATTTAGCTGATATAAAAGCATGTGTACCAAGGACTCTACTGTTGTAATTTTTATGCATCCAAGAATTAAAAGTATGCATACTTTTCAGCACATGAAAACTGTGGCACTTTGAAGAATTTGTCCAACTGCTATCATTGTTTCATAAGCACCTGAGATGACAGCAAACCAATTTAATGAATTCTGAAAAATGTACCAGAATAGTCAATTATGCAGTCTTTTTACAACATTATTTGCATGAATTTAATCTGATATTGGTATACAACACTTAATGGAATCTTCTGTCCAAAAATTAATAGCTATTTTATCATTCATTATATTTTATTCTTATGATCTCTACATTATTTTATATGTACATAGTTATGCTTTCTCCACAAACTGAATGAAAATGACCATTCTCTTACTTAACAGCTGGTTATTATGGTGACAATTAATCATGACATTCTCTCTGTAGACAAAATAAAACCTGGGAATATCCTTAACATTCTGCTTTAAAATTTTATTTTTAAAATTTAAAGCCAGTTAAATATTATGTCAATGATTGTTGTCTGAAAATGACATAAGCATAAGCTTTAAGGTTTGTTGTTTCAGGAAATACTGTCACATTTTTTAAAAAGATATAGCACTTAATTTATGTGATCACCATATATTTTCTATCTGATAATAAATATGCAATTTTTATTAACAATTTGTTTCAATTTCCTTTAACAGAAATTGAAATGTTTAAAATATTATGACCTATTTAATTTTAGAAATTCTCAGACAGTGGCAAAAACGTTAAAAAATTGAAAATAAAATCTTTCATAACTTAATGAATTAAGATAAATGCAAGACAGTTCCTGAGCTCTAAAACTGTATATTAAAAATTGATGTTCTGTATAAATCAAATTACCATTAAATTTTAAAATATAGTCCATAAACTAAACATATACTTTCTAGTAAATATTTTTTAATTAAGTTCGTCATGATTTTTCATAACTGCTATTATTAGAGTTCTTGACACAAATATGAAAAGCTTTAATAATGCTAAATTTATATGGTTTTTAACAAAACAAGCGGGAATTTTTGTGATTGATTTCGTAGCGATATGAAAGCCAATTTGTGTTAAAACAAACGCTTCACCATTCACCAGTATCAATATAGATGTGATGCTCAGTATTAGCGATGCCAATCGTACTTGAATTGGAATAAAGTGAACGTAGAACCTCTCCAACTGTGATTTTGTTCTTTACTCTCCCTTCGTTATAATTATAGAACATTACAACAGTGTACTTGGTTATCATGGCAAATTTGTAATAGGCTATTTTATAAAAAAAATTAAAAGACTGTTAATTTTAGTACCAAAATATAAGGACAGCCATTAAAAATACTGAAGCTTAAGAATTCGAAACATTCGAAATCAGATGACTATCGAATTTAGGTAACTCATATCTTACCGCTAATAAATGGGAACATTTCTGCAGAAAACGAATAAAGTTACCTGCAATTTATCCAGATTGTGTTATTATATATACACTATCCTTATGTGAATAAGAGACCCAGCAAACTCTTCTCTTTTGCGTTAAATGTTTAAATATTTAAAGAAAAGCAACAGTGTATCGATTTCAGCTTTCTGTATCAGAAGCCTCATTTATGACATCACTTCAGGTGGAACTTCCGGGCACAATAGTTGTGTTTGTTTATCTTTTTGCCGTGAATTTTATGTTACACACGATAATTTACAGGGAAAATGGGATACAGATAAAATGTTTATTTGTTTTAAATTGCTGTCAGTTGCACAATGATGAAGAATGATGAGTTATGTAGGCAAGTATATGTAACATATTTTCGATAGGGAAAAGCAAAGTTTATTATAGCTGATTATTTTTGTGGACATTTGTATGTACAGTTGGTGCTTATAGTCTATACAATCGTCAACAATAATCAGATTTTGCTTTAGAAGCAACAAATTAGGCAACTGAAAATTTTATGTATTCAGTTGTCTTTTCAAAAACACAAGTGCTCGACATGATGGCAGATCTGGGTCTGTGCAGTTTGCAGTTGTATGTATCTTATAAGCAAGTATATATGGTACCCAGATCAGGTCTTCTATTAATATCTATCTCTATTGAATCTCCTTTTTTTATTCTTTTGTATGAATTATTTGATGTATGTAGGCAGGTACATACATACATACATACATACATACATACATACATACATACATACATACATACATACATACATACAGAAATACAGAAATACATACATACAGAAATACATACATACATACATACATACATACATACATACATACATACATACATACATACATACAGAAATACAGAAATACATAAATACATACATACAGAAATACATACATACATACATACTAAGGTTCCTTTTCTCTTCATTGGTTAAGGTAGCTAAATGAAACTGTCGGGAGTGATAGTTGTGCTGGAATATGTATGGATGCAGTTGT